AACGATTCTGCAATATTACCACTGGATCTTGATGCCATGTAAGCCTTTGCAACAGCTACAACATGACTGTGTCAAAAAATCACTTCAAAGCTCATTATTACATCACTTTGTTCATGACACTCTATTCTGGAGGAGAAAGGCTTCTGTCTGCTCCTAAACAACAAACACCCACCACTACCCCCACCACTACCCCACCTCCCCCGCTCCCTCCCAACCCCCACCCACGACCATGGCTCTGATATACTTGACACACTGAGGTGAAAAAGCAGGTAACATAGGGAAGACTAACTCTCTCTACCTGTGTATCACAACATGACAGCAATATATGGGAGATCTGAGATGTGAAAAACAAGTTTAGAGATCAAGGTAATTTAAAATGAAAAGCAAAATTCACACAACTGATGTACCGTCTCATTTTGGGGCGCTTGCATGGGCTTCATTTAATTTTTTTGCCCAAAATGTCTCTTGTGTCAAAGGCTGAAACGATGAACACTATAGTCCCACATGTAGCATTCCAAAAACACAAATGATCAGAAACCCAATGAAGCTCATGTTAATCCTCATCCCTCGCCCCTTATGATGCAAACCCACTCATCCTTGGAGGTTGATAAAACTACCCCTTCAATTGCGGAACTGTTTCAATTAACGATTCTGCAATATTACCACTGGATCTTGATGCCATGTAAGCCTTAACAAGATCCTTAGCAAGACCCTGCCCTTATATGATGACGGGTCACCAGAAAAAAATAGAAGGAAGCTGGGAAATACAGAAGATCATGTTCTCGTGTTGCATTTTGCTACTGCCATTCATAAATCAATCAATCGAAGAATGCAGAAAGCACATCAGTGGGTTTATTTATTTTAAAAAATCTAATAAGGACTCTCAGCTTTGCACAGTAGATTGATAAAACAGTTAATTTAATTGAAAATATGAATAAATAACTTTAATCGGCTCAATGAATTATCCAAATGCTCTAATTCTGCACAGAGCATCAGTGACAGGAAATTACTGGCATTATTTTATTCATGTAAAAAGCAGCAATAATTCAAAAATGACATAAGTGAAGTTAGCAATCTTTCATGCCAATGAAAGAACTTTATTCATGTGTTGTCAGCTGCGTATTTACTGTGTATTACTGTCAAGTAAATATTATCATTCCAATGCAGATCAACTCTGACGTCAGGTATCGCAGTGGCAAAGTCTTTTTTTATTTGCCAGGGATTTATATGAAATCATTTTTGAAATTATTATTACTAATATACCTGATGTTGAATAGTTCTGGTTATGATTCAGAATTATAAATTACCTTGAAATGAGTTGCTTTACTTGGAATTAATATTTCACCAAATTACAACCATGTGAGAAATAGACGATGGATAACATTAATGTCAGCCATACCTACAGCTGGAAGATTAAAGCCATGAGTCTTTCCAAGTTTGGTTATCAAAAAGTAATGTTTATAACCCGACGGTGAGAGCAACTGTAATACTAGAGGGCAGCAGGCACAAAAAGGTGATCCTGTTCACCGATTATTACAAAGGTCTCAAATCACTGTGGTAAAGTGCACCTGCCTGTCTGAATACCTCTGTGCAAGAAAGCAGAAGTTGTTACTGACTTTGACAAATTAATCTGGCTGTGAGTTTGAATTTAACATTGAGAAAAGCCCCAAAGGACTCTCAATGACTGACATTAGCTGCTGAACTAAAACTATAATAGAATGCATGCTCACAGAGACTGTATTGAGCCCTCATTATGGTGTGCTGCCAGTGCATCTTATTGCAAGATTCCAGGTAAAAGACAAAACTTAGCAGTATGTCATACTGCCCCTGAATTCATTGAGTTCTCTATTGAATAAAGTGACATTCAGTACAATACATTTGAAAATTATAATTTTCACTTGGAACACACTACCAACAGTTGTATCTGTGATTGTTAGCTTTATATTTTGAGATGCTGCATTCTCTCAATTTGACTGGAAGAATGCATTTGTCATGCTTAACAATTGCAAATTCACACTGATAGCACACTGACATCTTCTATATCATGTTAGAGCAGAAGCTTGTTTTATCAGACTGTTGCCAGCTTTACTCACCTGTTGGCACAGATGGATCTGTGGATGGCTTTTCCCGTGTGTTAATTTGCTCCCAGGTGAATCCATTGGTCCCAAGAGCCAGAATGTATCCACAGCTGCTGTAATACTCATCAAATGAGCAACTGCCTGCAGTAAAAAAGGATTCAGAAAATAGCTTGAGTAACAAATGTGTGCATGATTGCCCACACATTCACATTGGTGGCTTTTGTACAAAAACAACTTCAAATTCATTAGTCCTAATGTGGACCTCAGGGCTTGGCAAAGTTGATTACAAAGACCTTTTACAACATATTTGGTTATGCTTTGCCTTTTAGTACACGATAATTGGTTTGATTCTGTAAAAGTGTATTTATCATGACATTTTCATGCTTTGTTAAAAAAGCTAAATATTAAAACACCAAGGATAATGATAAATGTTAAAGCTCTTGGGCAAAGGGCAGGAAAAGAATGATTAGAGTAACGATTCGATGCATATTTCTATGGGTAAACAATTGTGCAATACAATTAAAATGTAAATCCTTTTACTGTGACAGAACTATTGAAATTTTCACTGTCAGAATCATATATCTGAAATTTTCCATGTCTGTCAAAAACCTGACTTCATGGATCCCAACCCCATTCTGGCCAGAACAATTTTACTGAAGGTATCCTCCTAACTGGTCATCCTTAAGGCTCCCATTTTATTAAGGGCAATGGAAGAGCTCCTGATACTGTCGACCCAATCAGAAGTTTAGCAGCTTTGAAGACGCAGTCACGCCACTGGGAGAGATATACAAAAGGGCTCAAGAATTGGGACTGCCCAGTGGGGGAGGAAAGTTCATGAGAACATGTCTTAAAAAGGAATGAGGGGAAGCTGTTCAAGGAGGTTTACTGGAGCTGTAGGTGCTTTCTTCCCTGCTTGAAGGCCATTCTTTGTGCCTTGGACTCAGTGGCTCCAAAGCCAGCCCTCCTTTAGGGTGCTGTAAGGAGGCTGTCACTATTAATCTGGCAGCCACCACAATACAATGACTGGGGTTTGACCAGTCAACAGTAAAACGTTAAATGCTCTGTGAAGGCTGAGTCTGCCAAAGGGTTCTCATTGTGCACACACCCTTTGTATACCAACCTGCCAGTAAAAAAAATGGCAGCAACCAAAAAGCACAACAGACACCAACAATTGAGATGGAATTATGATACTGCAGTAATAGCAGGAATACTACGCATGTGCAATGTGAACCTTTCAGCAATGTCAGCAGACATAACCCTCTGTGAAAAAGCCCTTAACTGGATCTTTAAACGTACTCATTGAATAGACATTTCTTTGGAGCGTACAACCACTCTGCATCTTGCCCCACCTCTGGGAAATTGCTCCAGCAGCAGAACAGGTTGTGAAGCTGGCTCAATGTGATTGCTGATTATTTTACTGCACTTTTTCTTCTCCCACTGTATCTCACCTGCCAACCCAGTCATATTTCATATAAAACATATGCAAGGTCTGAAAATAGCAAAAAATATTGCTCATAGTGTGTAGTGATATTTTATTTTCATAAAACAAGGTACTCAGTTGAACATTAAAGTTAGAAGCACATAGAATATGTCCAGTGTTAAACAATTAGCTAATTGCATAGAGGCATGTAGTTGAGGGCTAAAGGGACTAGACTTGTGTCTATGTTATCATGGAAAGGGTGTGTGAGCTTATGTCTTTTGCATATATCTCAGAATGGTTACAACACAGAAGGCTCACAATCAGCCCATTTTCTCTCAACTAGTTCTCTGAATGAGCAGTTAACATACTATCATTCCCTTACCTTCTGTCTTCAAACCTCTATTTCCTTCCTTTTCAGATAACAGACCTTTTACCTGTTGAATGGCTCAATTGAACCTGGCTCCAACACACTTCTCAGGCAACTTATTTGGTGCGTAAGAATGTTTCTTGTATTGACCTTGTTTCGTTTTACCAACTTTGCCTTATATCTGTTCCTTCTTCTCTATTCTTCTCCTTATCTACTCATTCCAGTTCCCTCATGATTTTGAATATCTCTTTTCAAAATCTCCTCCCAGTCTTCTCCAAGGAAATGGTCTATGTGACTGAAACTCTTCATTCTTCTATCCCTTCCCATGAATCTTTTCTCCACTCCCTCTCATTCCTTTGCATCCTTTCTGAACTGATCATAATAATCAGTTGAGGCTAAATTAGTATTTTATGTAAATTTAATATGTCCTCCTTGCTCTTGCACTCTAGGCCCTGAATTATAAAGCCTGGGATACCAAATGCTTGATTAGACACTCTTACCATCAGTCCTGCACCTTCAGCGGCTTATATATACACCCAGGTCCCTCTTAGCCCCTTCATAATTGAAATTTTCTTTTATGTTGTCACTCTGATTTTCTCCCAAAATTAGTCACTTCACAGTTTTGAATTTCTAAAAAATCCTCCTCACAATTCATAAAGCTTCCAAGTTTACATCATTAACAAATTTTGACATTGAGCTGAGTAGACCAAAGTCTAAGTCCAGGCAGCCATCACTGACTCCCAAGAACTCAACTACAAATCTGACTCCACCCTAAAAAGGTCCAGGGACTGCTGTAAAAACCATTAACCAGGAATATCTTCAGAGACAGTGGGAACTGCCGATGCTGGAGAATCTGAGATAACAAGGTGTGGAGCTGGATAAACACAGCAGGCCAAGCAGCATCAGAGGAGCAGGAAAGCTGATGTTTTGGGTCTGGACCCGTCTTCAGAAATGGGGGAGGGGAAGGGGTTCTGAAATAAAT